TTAGTGAAAATTATGTGAAATTGTTCGGTTACCGGGCATAAAGCCAAAGAGACATTTTATGTGCTAAAAAATTCCTTCCTGACTTTTTTTCTTTTCGAATTTTGGTTATTTCTTGGACAATTTTCTACTAGGAAGCGCGTAAGAGCGCAAAATACTACAAAACCAAAATGTCATGCCGGTATAACGTTACCCTCAGTCAAGCTCTGTTCACGTGTAGCGGTGGTTGTCAGTAAATACGTGCACGAGTGGGAGACATTCCATTGCTACCTTCTAATGTCATAGATTTTGTAATGTTGTCCGCTCAGATGGTTCTTATGTTTTCTCGGTTACCTGGTGAAGCTTATTTTCCCCGTGTGACAGGCATGTCACGCCGGCAGGGGGTAAATCAATGCGCGAAAATTAATGCAAAGGTTTGATAGTGGAGATTTGTTGCCTTTTTTTTAATAAATTGTTCTAGCTTGCGAAGAGTTAAGACCTTAACTTTTTCAGTATTAAATTCCAACAAAACAACATAGGTTATGTTTTGCACCTAATAGGGGAATTTTTTTATGTATTAACACTCGGTACGCTGCATAACATAAGAGTAGTAAATGATGATGAAAATGGTAATGATAATTATTCAAACTACATCCACCTTTGTCTCAACTTCTTGATTCCTAGCAGAGAGTGACTGATGCGGGAAAAATATTTTCATCCAAAGGACAACATCATATATTTTTTGAAATTTAACACAAAAAATCGTCTTTAATGCACACGGCGAAACAGAAATTCTGATCTGAAGCGAACTAATAAAAACGTCAGTTGTCGAACGATAGTTATCTTTCGATATGATCAGGGATAAAAGTTTGGTTAGAAAGTCTTAATTTTGCTGCATCATTCCATCATTTGTCTTGTTAGTTTTCAATAGTAGTAGTAATCAGCCCTTTCTTTAAACCTAAACTAATTTTCTTTTCTATTTTTGTTGTACCTGTGACTTTAACGAATTACGCGATTAAAATTCTTGTCTAAACACTAAATTTCTTTAAAACAACAATTAACAGCAGCTGTAAAAACCTTTACTTTTTAGTGTATTTATTCTCTGCTGCTAATGTGGATAAATGCGATCAGGCTCGGAAAGAGTAAAGGGACAATCAAGATTCAGGTACTTAATGTAATAGCTTTGTAGCTTTCTCCTCTACCCTTAGTGGTCGATTTGTTTATCCTTCTTGCGGCAAAATTGTTAATTTAAAGACGGTGAGCAATTTTTTTCGGTGTATCGCAGAATAACTTCATTTCCGATACAGATGTCGATTCTGTTGATGAATACGTGTTGGTTTTCTACTCTAACGGAATAGTTATTCTTCACTATTTATCTCTGGAACGTATAGTTTGTTATCCGTCTAGTGTCTTTAAATTCTGTGAAATGATCGAAAAATGAACTGTACAATGAACTTTCCTCGTGGTTTCAAAAGAAAGGAAACATAATGCTTCGGTAACACTGTTCAAAATTTATTTTCTCTCTATAAACATTACCACAATGTTGTGTAAACTACTGACGAGAATCAAGAACAATCAACTTGTTAAAATGTCCAAATGCTTAGAGAAACACATCAAGATTTTGTGGTGAGATCTTCGGACTTCAGAGTGGAATAATCTGTATGGGAGCAACCACTTTAAATTTTTGGTTTACACTTAAGGACAAAAAAGAGGAAAAATTGGTGATTAGTTTTTAAAACCGAACATTTGAAAGTCGAATGAAAACTTAGGCGGAGACAAGAAGCCGTCAGCTACCAATATTCAATTTTTTATATTTTTGTGGAGGTTAGTATTTCTTTCTTCAGCATCAATGAAATTAAAAGGAAATAAATAAAATGAAATAAAAATAGGAAAAAGAAAGACACACTTGGTCCACATGCTCTTTAGGAAGACGTAAAAACTACTTGAGTTTCAATGATTTTAATATATTAATAACTCTTCTAGTTTATACCTGTTAACTTTTAACCAATAAATTCTTAATTACTCAACCATACCGGCACTGTCTCAGGTTAATTGAAAGACGGTGAACAATTTTTTGGGTGTATCGCAAAATAACTTCATTTCTGATACAGATGTCGATTCTTTTGACAAATACGTGTTTGTTTTATACTCTAATGGAATATTATCATTCATTATTTATCTCTGGAACATACTGTCTGTTATTCGATCCGTGTAGTGTCTTTAAGCTCCGTGAAATCTCCGAAAAATGAACTCCACTATGAACTTTCTCAGTGGTTTCAAAACAAAGGAAACAGCACTTCTGTAAAACTGATCAAAATTTATTTTCTCTTTATAAACATTTATACAATGTTGCGTGAACTCCTGACGAGAATCAAGAACAATCAACTTGTTAAAATGTCCAAATGCTCAGAGAAACACATCAAGATTTAGTGGTGAGATCTTCGGACTTCAGAGTGAAAAAATCTGCATAGGAGTGTCCACTTTGAATTGTTGTTTTGCATTTAAGATATTACGACGAAGAAAAGGAAAAATTGGCGACTAGTTTGTAAAACCAAAAATTTGAAAGTCAAATGAAAACTGAGTCAGAGACAGGGAGAAGTCAGCTTGTGAAGGGAACTGTCCAATGAGTTCCATCGATTAACTATCCTATTGTAGAAAGTTTTTTGATTAGTGAAAGGACGCTTGACAGTAGGCACAGTCTTCTTTTAAATTTGTTGTATAGCAGAATAAAGAAATAAAGAAATCAGAGAAGGCGATGGAGAAACAAATCGAAAATTTGGAAAACCTAATTGAAAGCACGTAAGAGCGCAAAATACTACAAAACCAAAATGTCAAGCTCTGTTCACGTGTAGCTGTGGTTGTTAGTAAATACGTCCATGAGTGGGAGACATTCCATTGCTACCTTCTAATGTCATAGAGTTTTGGAATGTTGTCCGCTCAGATGGTTCTTATGTTTTTTCGGTTAGCTGGTAAAGTTTGTTTTCCCTGTGTGACCGGCATGTCGCGTCGGCAAGGGATAAATTAATGCACAAAAATTAATGCAAAGGTTTGATAGTGGAAATTTGTTTCCCTTTTTTTTATAAATTGTTCTAGCTAGCGAAGAGTTAAGACCTTAACTTTTTCAGTATTAAATTCCTACAAAACAACATGGGTTATGTTTTGCACCTAATGGGGCAATTTTTTTATGCATTAACACTCGGTAAGCTTCAGATAATAACATAAAAGTAGTAAATGATAATGAAAATGGTAATGATAATTATTCAAACTACGTCCACCTTTGTCTCAACTTTTTGATTCCTAGCAGAGGGTAACTGACGTAGGAAAAATATTTTTAACCACAGGACAACATCATATATTTTTTGAAATTTAACACAAAAAATCGTCTTTAATGCACACGGCGAAACAGAAATTCTGGTCTGAAGCGAACTAATAAAAACGTCAGTTGTCGAACTATAGTTATCTTTCGATATGATCAGGGATTAAGTTTTGGTTAGAAAGTCTTCATTTTGGTGCAGCATTCTATCAATTGTCCAGTTAGTTTCCAATGGTAGTAGTAATCAGCCCTTTCTTTAAACCTAAACTAATTTTCTTTTCTATTTTTGTTGTACGTGTGACTTTAACGAAATACGCGATTACAATTCTCGTCCTAACTTTGAATTTCTTTAAACAACAATTAACAGCAGCTGTAAAAACCTTTACTTTTCTGTGTATTTACTCTCTGCTGCTTATGTGGATAAATGCGATCAGGCTCGGAAAGTGTAAAGGGACAATCAATATTCAGGTACTTAATGTAAAGGCTTTGTAGCTTTGTCCTTTATCCATAGTGGTTAATTATTTTATCCTTCTTGGGGCAAAATAGTTGATTTAAAGACGCTGAGCAATTTTTTCTGTGTATCGCAAAATAACTTCATTTCCGGTACAGATGTCGATTCTGTTGATGACTACGAGTTTGTTTTGTACTCTAACAGGATATTTATTCTTCACTATTTATCTCTGGAACGTATAGTCTGTTATTCGATCCGTCTAGTTTCTTTAGGTTCTGTGAAATGACCGAAACATGAACTCTGCTATGAACTTTCTTAGTGGTTTCACAACAAAGGAAACAGCACTTCTGTAAAACTGATCAAAATTTATTTTCTCTCTATAAACATAACTACAATATTGTGTGAACTCCTGACGAGAATCAATAACAATTAACTTGTTAAAATGTCCAAATGCTTAGAGAAACACATCAAGATTTAGTGGTGAGATCTTCGGACTTCAGAATGGAAAAATCAGCATGGGAGCGTCCACTTGTCAGAGCTTCAGGTTGTCACTCTCTTTGAAATGTGATCCGAAACCAGCAATGACATCATGCTGTCCCAATTACTTAGTTAAATTCAATGTGGAAAATGGTCGCTGACGGGTGATCTCATCCCGTATAGTGCAATAAGAGACGAATTGTCTAATTGCGAAGGAAATGTTCTCCGAGGAAACCGAATTGTTGTGCTACAGTCGTTACGGAAAAAAAATTCTGAAATTAGCATACGAGGCCCATCAGGGAATCGTCAAGACTAAAAAGTTCTTCGAGCTTGTCTTTTTTTGGCCTGGCATGGATGATGCAACAGAGACTATGGTGAAGATTTATCAAGCGTGCGTTGTTCATCAGCCTCTTAATAAGTACACGCCGCTTCAACCAAACCTTTACCTCGTGGTCCTTGAGTAAAAGGTGCACTAAATCTCGTTGGTCCAATCGATGGAAAATCCAGTTTGACTTATATCGATTATTATTCATCCTATCCGGAAGGTACGTGTTTTTCCGTACTATGCGCGAAGCAACGAAAAATTAAAGGAGAACTTTCGAGCAGCCATCAGCGAAGGTAAATCCTGGCAAATGGAGTCGCCTAAAAATTCATGCGCTACAGAGCAAATCGGCTTCATACTAGTGGAAGACCGCCTAGTATGCTTTTGTTCAATCGCGAACTTCGAACAAAAAAGCATCATCGGCACTCTATCGCGAACATTGGTCAAAATCCAATTTGTAGCAAACGCGTTCGAAGGCATATCACGATAGAAGGAAACATGCAGAACCGCATTATTTCAAAATTGGCGATCTCGTACTTTGTGCCAACAAGAAACCAGACGAACTAGATTTGAATTTCTCTACGGCCGAGCTCGTAATTATTAAGACCAAAGCAAGAGACACTTTTAGTTTAGTCAATGTGGACACGGGTACCACTTTGAGACGCGATGCGAAGTTCCTCAAACATGCATCCAGTCAGCATATTGGTAACGACATTGATGTAGACATTAGTGCTAAGACTGAGGAGTCTATTGACCATTCAGTGAAAAGAAATGACCCTATCAAAAGTACCAAGCCCTCTAGTAAGGATCCGGAATATTTCTCGGATTAGAAAGTTTTTGTCAGTTAGTAGTACTAAGGCGTTAGTACACGCCTTCGTCACATGCAGATTAGACAACTGTAACTCTCTGTTATATGGTCTTCCGAAACATTTAGTTCATAGATTGCAATTTGCCCAGAATTGTGCGGCACGGCTGATCTTATGTGGTCGTAAGCATGACCACGTTACTCCTTTACTGAGGGAACTGCACTGGCTTCCCGTGGAGCAGAGGATTATTTTTAAAATGTTATTTTTTACTTTTAAAACTTTAAATAATCTATGCCCAAGTTATATCAGTGACTTGTTAGAAACTTATAAGCCTAATAGGTCTTTACGATCATCGAGTAGGAACTTGTTAGTGATTCCTCGCTCCAAGTTGAAATCTTATGGCGATCGCACCTTTTCTGTCTCTGCACCTAAGTGTGGAATGACATTCCTGAAACCATAAAATGTATTGTAGATCTTAACGCTTTTAAACGTAATCTTAAAATTTATCTTTTTAAGGGTTATTTTATGAATGAATACGTTTGATTATTATTTTTATTTTTTACGTCAACCACTATTCGTCAAAGTTTAAAAATTTCTAGTCGAAGTTCCTTTCGAAAATGGCGCGTTTCGAGTTCGACACCATTGTTTTCAGCCCACGCTTGAAGAACAATGGCTGTTAAAACTAAACAATAGCCTATTGAGAAAATTGAGAGGTTTAACGTAAATTTTTTACTTCTTAACGTATTGTAATTTTTTTCGAGGCTTGTTGTAATTTAACAGCGACTGTATTGTGGTTTTTAGATGATGAACACCAAAAAGCCCTACTGGGGAGTGTTGATAAATTTTATATTGTATTGTATTGTAACTTAAAAAATTGACAATTTTTACCAATAAATTCTTCTGCGCTCCTCCTCCTTCTTGAGACTCTCTCCATTTCCCATGCCCTTAGCCAGTTGATGACTCGCGCTGGGTTGGCGCGAAAATTATTCCTGTTGTCGTTTTCTTTCTTTTCACTTTCTTTTAATGACGGCGGCTTTTAGAGTCCTGCAATTAGTCGTTACTTACACATACATAACGGGGAGTGATAAGCTCGCAATAGAGTGCAGAGTTTTGTTTTCGAGGTTTTAAAGATTTAAGAAGTGGGTACTAAAAGAAAGAAAGGAAATAGGAGAAAGGAAAAAAGAAAGAGGGAAGAGGAAAATGAAAGAAAGTGAGAAAAAAGATAAGGGAAAGGTAAGAAAAACTGCTCAGTTATTTTCTTTGGACAAGGAAGAGAAACCGAGTTCCTGACGTACCTGAAAATACCTAAAAGTAACATGTGGCTCGAACAATCGAGATTCAAGGTCACGTTTATGCATGAAATACCACGCATAACTACATCATTAACAATTACGAAACTGAAACTCGAAACTGAAAGCCACGCCGGCGAACAGACTTTTAGAATAACGCGAGATGCTGGGTTTACCTTTTTTGGTCATAAGCTATAACTTGGAGTGTAGAGAGTCATCTGCCTGATGATTTTTTTCACGCAAGTAACTTTGTTTCTCAGCAACTTAAGAGTGAAGTAAATCCTGCATTCACGCCAAGAGATCTCAGCTGAGATGGCGTCGTCAGAAAATGAGACTATCTCTTTGGATCATATCCATCCAAAACCTGCAAATCTTGGAGAACAACTCTCCATTACGGGAAGCAGAGATCTATTGACAGCTGCCAATCGTTCTTCTAGATCCCGCCGAAGAGTTATGGTCATTCTTGTTGCTATTGCAGTAGCAATTTCTGCAATCATCGCGGCAGTGTTCATTGGAAAATACGTTTCGGAATACCTTAGTGATGATAACAGGAAAGGTAAGTATAAGATGTCACTCAATTTTTGCTATTTATTCAGAAGTCAAGAATAAAAACAACATATTTGAACAAAAGATAGAAGTTGGTCGAAATTTCAGCACATCAATATGTCATCGTCGATGTCCTAGTAGAAGAAAGCAATCATCTTATTTTTACATAAAGCTAAAAGCTAGCGGACAAAATTAATCAATAGATATATAGACAAGACGATAAAGTAAGTATTCAGTTTGATCATGTAAATGGTAAGCATTAAAGAAGGAAACATGTAGGAGCACTTTCGTCCGCGTTGTCCTAACCCCGCCAGATTGATTTTTTTAAAATTCGATATCAAAAGCTTCGTAAATTCAAAAATACCAATTCTACAAAAAAGTCATGAAGCTGGCGTTTTTGTCCTCTCGTCGATGTTAGGGTAAGAGTGATAAGTTTTAAATGTGCTTTGGAAGTCAAAGAGGCAAGTGATCCGTTGACAGAACATGCACGAGCATATAAGTAGTTGCGAGGCTACTTAAGAGCATTCCAGACTTAAGACTTAAGACTTAAGAGCATTCCAGCGGTAAAATTTCAATTGTACAGTGTTATCTGCCTGTTTGAATTCCCTAGTGGGTACCCAAGCGTGCGTTCCTACAACAGTGAAGTAGGCTCCTGAATACAACCAAAAGTTACAAAATGGCCAATAATGAGCAGATAACCATTGTTCCAGTTGTTTTCTTAACACCTAGTTTCATCAGTTAGCTTTAGATTAGTAATAAACTAGTCCTTTTATGGAACCTGGGAAAAAATCTACATCATTCCAGGCATTTTTAAAGGAATCATGTACAGTTCAATTTTGGGATCATTTGCGATCCGGATTAATTTTTTCCAAAAACTTTTTTAAAACTTTTTCTTAAATAATAAACAGCACTGCATGAAATGAGATGCTAAAAACTTGCCTCATTCTCCTACGCGTCCTATTTGACAACAGCAAGAGTTTATAAAAGTAGGCAAATAAGCTTGCTCAGTGAAGTGAAATGAGGCAAAAGTATGACAAAAGTGTTCTACATGCGTGACATTTTGAAGACGTTACATATAAGAGTACGCGTTGTGTATGGTGGTCAAAGATTAAGAACTAAATCTACGAGCTGAGTTCTTGTAAGTTTTGCACACGAATTTCGGTTCTTGCGTCCATGCTATTTTGATGTAGAAGGCAGAAATAGCAGCTCTAATTTCACTTTAATGGCGTCTTTCAATCGTAGTGTGTCACGATGACAAATGGTGGATGATGGCAAGTTCACTAGATTAATTTACTTTTCTGATACTTTGTTTTCTTTAACCCTAGATTGTACTGAATTATAACTTATTCGGACAACAATCAGGCCAAAACGATGTCATATTTCCTCCCAGGGTTAAAGTTAAAATGAATGTTTTCATGAAAAATTCATCTCTTGTGTTATTCCTCTATTAAGCTACCTTTTTCTACATTTACTTGTGTCCTCAGGCATCGACGAGTGCAGCACTGGAATCTATGTGTGTGACATAAATGCGAACTGTACTAACACTGACGACTCTTATATCTGCGCCTGTAAGGAAGGATACACCGGAGACGGGCATTCATGCCAAGGTATAATCATTGCATTTGACCTAACAAATAGCGGAATAAAGTTTCCCACAAATAAAAAAAACTCTTTTCATTAAAACTTAGAAATCTGATGTTTTTCTCTCTGTCTAGAAACGTTTTGACAATTCGTTTTTGTTCACAGATGTCAATGAGTGTAGCGATGGCAACCATGTTTGCGATGTTAATTCGAATTGTAACAACACAAATGGTTCTCATATTTGTGCCTGCAAAGAAGGATACGCTGGAGATGGACAGTCATGTCAAGGTGAATACGAGTAGTCCACACTGCTAAAAACAAACAGCTTTGCTCCTAAGCTATTGCCCATGAAAATTAGCCCACATTTTTGAGGCCTGTTTTGACGCACCACTATCGTATTTCTATTACATTACCTTTATACATCACTAACACTGCTAGATATCGACGAATGCTGCAAAGGAAGCCATGATTGTGACATAAATGCGCACTGCACCAACACTGATGGCTCCCATAGCTGCACCTGTAAGGAAGGATACACTGGAAAAGGAGAATCATGCCGGGGTAAAATTAGATTAGACTTTGAAAAAAAGCAGAATAACTGTTCATCACAAATAATTGCCTTGTCATCCAACAAACTGGCTGAAGATTTTTTTCTCTATTCAATTACCCATTGCAAATCTTTTTTGTTCACAGATGTTAATGAATGCAACGATGATGTTTGTGATGCTAATACTAACTGTACCAACACTGTTAAGAATATATGAAAGTCATATATTTGAAACTGCAGATAAAGACGTGAATGAAAGTGATCCTTGCAGTAATGTGCACTACTTAGGCAGTAGTGGAAATAAGGCCCGAAAAAAAAATTCAGGCCTGTACGGGATTTGAACCCATGACCTCTGGATACCGGTGCAGCGCTCTACCATCTGAGCTAACATACCAACTGGAAGCCTGTCATGATGTTGGTTCTAAATAAACCCGTGAAGTGATGAATAAACGGTTAAGAATATATGAAAGTCATATATTTGAACTGCGGATAAAGACGTGGATGAAAGTGATCCTCGCAGTAATGTGCACTACTTAGGCAGTAGTGGAAATAAGGCCTGAAAAAAATTCAGGCCTGTACGGGATTTGAACCCATGACCTCTGCGATACCGGTGCAGCGCTCTACCAACTGAGCTAACAAGCCAACTGGGAGCGGGTCATGATGTTGGTTCTAATGTCAAGGGTTCAAATCCCGTATAGGCCTGAATATCTTTCAGGCCTTATTTCCACTACTGCCTAAGTAGTGCACATTACTGCGAGGATCACTTTCATTCATGTACCAACACTAATGGTTCACATAATTGCATCTGTTTGGAAAGATACATTAGAGATGGACAGTCTTGCAGATGTAGATTAGAACAGTGATACCTTATGTCGAGCAAAGCACCTTTCCATAACCAGAATTGTCTTCGTAACTGGGCTAACGATCAAGAGGCAACGCAATGGTTTTCACACCCCGACCTCGTGTTTCTACTAAGTTACGGATATCATAATATACATAGATACACAATTTTCGCTGGTTTAAAATATAATACGTGCGGATATTTTACGAGTGGCTAAAAGTGTTTCCGAGCCCAGAAGGAACGAGGATAAAAGAAGGCAATGAGTATGAGATATATCATATCACCATTACCTGGAATATTTTTCTCGAATATGCGGCGACGCTCGGATAACCACCCCCCCCCCCCCCAAGCCTTCTCCTCCCTCAGTTTTTTAAATAGTATAGATACAAGGAAAATATGTTTCTACTGCCACATTTTTTTACAGCAAAATAATTTTTTTTCCATACCAAATTTTTCTATGTTCATAAGCTTGCAGAGTTCCTTTATGTATTATCTATTATTTTGATTTTATGTCCTATTCCTGAGGTAACTTAAGAAGCGCCCCTCTCGACTAATCGATGACGCACACCCCTAGAAATAAGTGCCCCCCTCTCCCCCCGTCAGTTTTAGCCGAAATTTTCAGTAAGCGCTTAAGCGCTCATTGAAAATGTCTAATATTTCAATTATTAAAGTAAACACAATATCGCTTGAGGAACTAAACATGTATCTTGCGGAGTTTATTCGCTCTTTTCGACTTAGAGACAGAGAATATTATGAACCTTCAGGCTTAATATGCCCTCTTTCAAGTTCTGAGAGGTATTTTGATATTTTTTGCTCGCTGTCAGTATGTTGCATTATTTCTATCGAGAAGGGAAATTTATATGACTTTTATCTTTCATGATCGATTTATAAACCATTGTCTGTTTGACAATAAAATGCTATAAAAGGCGAATTTACTCTCCTTATGTACATGTATACTATATAATAAACCTAATACATCACGTATAGTCAGTCCGTACGGTATATAAACAATCAATGCTTTATATCAAGAATCTTAGTCGTTTGCTGCGTTCACTCCCTCGACTTCCGATACTACGATCTCGTGCGTAAATACCAAGACAGACTTTGCACGAATTATTCTATATCTATATCATTTGAACTACCAGATATCGATGAGTGCCTCAATAGAAGCCATGCTTGTGACGTGACTGCGAATTGTACCAACACTGACGGCTCCCACATCTGCACCTGTAAGGAAGGATACACTGGGGACTCACACTCATGCCAAGGTATAATCATCACATTAGACTTAGCAAATAGCAGAATGAAGTTTTCCACAAATAAAAACAAAACTCTTTCTTTAAAAACTCAGAAATTTGGTGTTTGTCTCTGTCAAGTAACGTTTTGGCAATTCATTTTTGTTCTCAGATGTTAATGAGTGTAGCGATGGCAACCATGTTTGCCATGTTAATTCGAACTGTAACAACACAGATGGTTCTCACATTTGTACTTGCAAGGAAGGATACACTGGAGACGGACAGTCATGTCAAGGTGAATAAGAGTTGCCTACACTAATTAAAACAAGCAACTTTGCACATAAACTATCGCCCATGGAAGTTAGCCCTCATTTTAGAGGCCTGTTTTCACGCACCACTGTTATATTGTTATTGCGTTACCTTTTATACATCACTTATGCTTCTAGATATCGATGAATGCAGCAATGGAAGCCATGATTGTGACGTGAATGCGAATTGTACCAACATTAATGGCTCCCATAGCTGCACCTGTAAGGAAGGATACACTGGAAAAGGAGAGTCATGCCAAGGTAAAATTAAATTAGACATAGAAAAAAAGCAGAATAACCGTTCATCACAAGTAATTGCCTCGTTATCCAACAAACTGGCCAACATATTTTTTTTCTATTCAGTTGCCCTTTGCAAATCTATTGTAATCATAGGTATTGATGAATACAACGATGATAGTTAAGTTTTTTATGCGAATGCAAACTGTACCAACACTAATGGTTCTCATAATTACATCTGTAAGGAAGGATACATTGGAGATAGACAGTCTTGCCAATGTAGATTAGAACTGCTATACTTCATGTCGAGCAAAGCAGCTTTCCATGATGAATAATGTCTTCGTAACTGGGCTCATGATCAAGAGGCAGCTTAAAGATTTTCACGCCCCGACCTGGTATTTCTATTAAGTTACGGGCTTCACCATATGTATATCATATCATATCATATGTATACATACACATTTTTCGTTGGTTTAAAATATAATACGCTCGAATATTTTACGAGTTGCCTAGTATTTTTCCCAGCCCAGGAGGATCGAAGATAAATGAGAGCGGTGAACAATATCTCTTCTCCTATTATATTATAAAACATCGAATGAGGGTTCATCATTTCACTATTACCTGGAATATTTTTCTCGAATATGCGGCCACTCTCGGATAACCCCCCCCCCCCACCCTTCTCCTCCCTCACTTTTTAAATAGTATAGATACAAGGAAAATCTGTTTCTACTGCCACACTTTTTTTTTATAACTTTTCAACCTTCAACAACAGCGCAATCAGTACAGCAAAACAATTTTGTTTTCCATTCCAGATTTTTCTATGTTCATGTGCTTGCAGAGTTCCTTTATGTATTATCTATTCTTTTGATTTTTGTCCTATTGCTGAGATAACTTAAGAAGCGCCCCTCTCGACTAATCGACAAAGCGCCCACCCTACAAATAAGTGCCCCCTCCCCCTCTCCCTCAAAGTTTTTGTCGAAACTTTCAATAAGCGCCCAAGCACATATTGAAAATGTCTATCATTTCAATTATTGAAGTACACACAATATCGGCTGAGGAACTAAACGTGTATCTTGCGGAGTTTATTCACTGTTTTCAACTTAAAGACAGAGACGATTATGAACACTCAGGCTTAACATGCCTGGCTTCAAGTATCGAGAGGTATTTTGATATTTTTTGCCAGCTGATAGTATGTTGCATTATTTCTATCGAGAAAGGACGTTTGAATGGTTTAAATCTTTCATGATCGATTTATAAACCATTGTCTGTTTGACAGTTAAATGTTATAAAGGAGGAATTTACTCTCCTTACGTACATGTAAACTTTATAATAAACCTCATACATCACGTAAAGACTGTCCTTACGGTACATAAACAATCGTTGCTGTATATAAAAAATCTTACTCGTTTCTTGCGCTCACTCCCTCGATTTCCGATACTACGAGTTCGTGCGTAAATACCATATAGACAGATTTTCTATGAAGTATTACATATCTATATTATTTGTAATACTAGATATTGATGAGTGCCTCAATAGAAGCCATGCTTGTGACGTGACTGCGAATTGTACCAACACTGACGGCTCCCACATCTGCACCTGTAAGGAAGGATACACTGGGGACGGACACTCATGCCAAGGTATAATCGTTACATAAGACTTTGCAAATACCAGAACGAAGTTTCCCTCAAATAAAACAAAACTCTTTCTTTAAAAACTCAGAAATTTGATGTTTGTCTCTGTCAAGTAACGTTTCGGCAATTCCTTTTTGTTCTCAGATGTCAATGAGTGTAGCGATGGCAACCATGTTTGCCATGTCAATTCGAATTGTAACAACACAGATGGTTCTCACATTTGTACTTGCAAGGAAGGATACACTGGAGACGGACAGTCATGTCAAGGTGAATAATTAAGAGTTGCCTACACTAATTAAAACAAGCAGCTTTGCACATAAACTATCGCCCATGGGAATTAGCACACACTTTAGAGGCCTGTTTTCACGCACCACTGTCATATTGCTATGGCGTTACCTCTTATACATCACAGATATCGATGAATGTAGCAATGGAAGCCATGATTGTGACGTGAATGCGAATTGTACCAACACTAATGGCTCCCATAGCTGTACCTGTAAGGAAGGATACACTGGAAAAGGAGAGTCATGCCAAGGTAAAATTAAATTAGACTTAGAAAAAAGCAGAATAACCTTTCATCAAAAATAATTGCCTTCTTATCCGACAAACTGGCTAAGATTCTTTTCAGTTACCCTTTGCAAATCTATTATGTTCACAGATATTGATGAATGCAACGATAATAGTCATGTTTGTGATGCTAATGTTAACTGTACCAACACAAATGGTTCATATAATTGCATCTGTAAGAAAGGATACATTATAAATGGACAGTCTTGCCAAGGTAGATTAGAAAAGCGATACTTCATGTCGAGCAAAGTAGCTTTTCAAAATAAGTATTGTCTTCGTAACTGAGGTTATGATCAAGAAGCAACTTAATGATTTTCACGCCCCGACCTCGTATTTCTATTAAGTTACGGGTTTCATTATATGCATGCATTCACATTTTACCAAGATTTAAAATATAATACGCGCAGATATTTTACGAGTTGCCTGGTATTTTTCCGAGCGCGAAAGGAACAAGGATAATTAAGAGCAATGAGCAAGTTTCCTCTCGTATTATGTGATAAACCATCGAATATGTGATTTATTATTAGTTCCTCACTTTTTTAAATAGTATAGATAGAACGAAAAATCTCTTTGTACAGCCACAAACTTTTCAACCTTCAACAACAGCGCAATCAGTACAGCAGAATAATTTTACTTTCAATTTCAGATTTTTTTAAATCTTCATGTGCTTTCAGAGTTCCTCTACGTATTATCTTTTATTTTGATTTTGATGTCCTATTGCTGAGATAACTTAAGGCGGGGTTCCACCTGAAAAAGTGACATTTTTGCATCACTTGTGACAGCTATGGTTTTCATCAGAATCATAGCACACTATACATCATTAGAAAGCTATCGGCCTGAAGATTATGAAAATGTGTATTTGAATGCGGTATTTTTTTTTGTAACCTGATACCAAGCCCCTTAAATAGCACATGCTGTGGCTGACCTGGACCTACTTGAGAAAAGATTTTTACATATAGTTTCACATGAAACATGTATTTTTACTATTTTTCTCAAGTAAACAGATTGCTTACTGGGATGAATGAAGGACTTTGCAAAATTTCAAAATGTGAAGCCTCAACACCCATTAGAAAGCATTTCAATTAGGAAGCATTTCTTAAAATAACCTTTTTTCTAAACACTTATGACAAATTCCTTCATTCATCACAACTAACTCAGTGAGACCCAATCTAACCTGAAAATTTCAGGTCAATAGCTCAAATCCCTCTTGAGTTATCTCTTCTCAAAGGCAAAAATGCTGCATTTTGAGAAACGTAGCCTTAAACTTCAGAAATGGAATAATTTGAACGGGACTGCACAGGTACTTGATGCGTTTCTTTTGTAACCATTCCCAACAGAAGGAAAAGCACTATCATATTTTACCAACACAATCAATCCTTGTATAAAAAAGAGATGAATGTAGGCCTAAAGAAAATGGTGATAATGACACATTTGTATCCAATAAACATTCAAAAATCTCAACTGGCAAAGGGAGACTTGATGGAAGGGCTTACAGGACAGAACAACGTAGTTGAAATTGGGGGAACCGAGAAAAAGTCTGGTGAGTGGTAACATGAAGGGCCTGTCTCTAGAACCACAAGACAGAAAGACTAAGGTTCCCAAGCTTATGCGCGGCAAATTTTTCTCAATTAATTTTTTTAATGCTTATGATTTTACAGATATTGACGAGTGTAGAGGAAGTCACTCTTGTCACGTGAATGCTACATGCACGAACACCCTTGGATCACATGTATGTCAATGTCACGCTGGATATACTGGAAATGGACAAAACTGCACAGGTGAATTTAATCTCTTCGCTACAATATGTAGAACAGTCCTGCATGACACGTTCGACTACAGAGCTGCACCATTCAGCCGCGTTGCAAGATAATTCGACAATTTATTACTAAGAAATTCGGTCATTTTGTCCTCATTTAATATATAGTGAATAATACCCGGGTTCCCGCTGACTTGGAATTTCTCTTCGAGTGTTCAACTGGCTACCTCATGAGTGAGAGCAGCAAACTAGTGAGGTATCGAGTAAGAGAATAATATATAGATTTAGCCAAGCCTGTTGAAAACTGGACCGAGAGTGTCACGTGGATTTTTGTATGTTTCTTACCCCCCACGAATTGAACTTTGAACTCTTGATAAAAACTCTAAAAAGGAAAACGAAAAGGAATGCGTGAAAGCTGTCTTGTATATTGTTATTCTGGAATACAGTCTTTATTCGAAGTTGTCCTGTTGTATACGTTTTATACATTTGGTGCCGAGACCCGGGAATCGAAAACTGGGATTCTACCGCTCCGAAGAACGTCTTGAATGAAATTGTTGTGAATGCGAGCTGGAAGCACGTGGGTGACATGTCGCAGTCGGGGAAGAAGAAATTGAAGAATCTGAGGAAATTTCGCGACGGTCATCGAAAGTTTGTCGAGAAAACTATCGAAGATGCTAAAGGGTTAATCGCTGAAGGTAATCTCGTCGAAGTGAAAAGGCTGAAATTTCTTCGAACCGCTCTTGAAACGAAGTATTCGGAGCTTCAATCGCTCGACCGCGAAATTGTGGATCTGGTGGATGACGTTGAAGTTATTGATACCGAAGTCTGTGAGAGCTGTGAGCTAATGAGCTCCATTCAGGAGTGTATTGTAGAGTTATAATCTGTTTTGGAAGCTCAAGAAAGTAAGGGAAAGAGCCAGAAATCCCCTTCCGTGGTGCAACATGTTTCTCCCGAAAGCGCGGGAACTTCTCAAGGTCACGTTTCGAAAGTTTTTACTCATGCAAAGTTACCCAAGCTTGAGCTAAAGAAATTCCACGGAAATCCCATGCATTGGTATCCTTTCTGGGAATCTTTCGAGTCTGCAATTCACAAGAACCCAAATCTGTCTTCCGTAGATAAATTCAACTATCTGAAGTCACTTCTCACTGGCACTGCACAAAGTTCGGTCGCTGGTCTAGCCCTGACGAGTGCTAACTACGAAAAGGCGGTTGATCTACTGAAACAAAGATTCGGAAATCGGCAGATGGTGATCTCTAGCCACATCGAAGTGCTCACCAAACTCCCCAAGGTGGAATCGATTGGCGAAGTTAAGAAACTCCGAAGCTTGTACGACACAGTGGAATCTCATGTTCGTGGATTAGAAGGTATGGAAATCTCTTCCGAGATGTATGGTTGTTTCTTAACACCAATAGTTATGCAGAAATTACCGGAGGAATTTCGAATCGCTATCACTCGCAATCTGGAATCGGAGACATGGAATCTGAAAGATATTTTGGTTGAATTTCACAAGGAACTGCAACTGAGAGAACAATGTCTTGTCAAAAACAAAGAGTTCAGATCCTCAAATCAGAGAGGTGAGTTGCCACTTTCTACATCAGCTTTGTACACTGACAGTTCTAAGGATAAGCAGTCTTCTCGTGTTTGGTGTTCATTTTGCAATCAAAACCATCAGAGTTCTAAGTGTAATGTTGTCACAAGTACTGAATCTAGAAAGGAAGTTCTTAAAAAGAAAGGCAAGTGTTTCCTTTGTCTCAAGCAAGGGCATTTGGCACGTAACTGTCAAGCTCATATGAAATGTCTTAAATGTCAAGGAGCTCACCATGTAGCAATTTGTGGTGATTCTCAATCAACCCTGGGTGGGCAAGATCAAGATAATGTGGCCAGTGTATCTACCTGTATGTATGTGGATCAGTCTAGAGGGTCTGTGTTGTTGCAGACGGCAACCGCTGAAGTTGTGCGTCCAGATAATGACACTTCTTCCCTAAGTGTTCGCCTGGTATTTGACTCATGCAGTCAGAGATCTTACATAACTAAGAACCTTAAAGACAGACTGAAGTTACCAGTGATTGGTAGAGAGTCACTTCTGATTAAAACTTTTGGTGAGTCTGATGCCAGACTACGAACATGCGAAATTGTTCAAGTGGGTATCAAAACCATGTGTGATGCAATTGTCTACATACAAGCCTATGTGGTACCAGTCATATGTGGCCCCCTGACCCAACAACCCACAGAGCTCGCTCAGTCTAGCTGTGAACATCTGCACGGCCTCTCTTTAGCCGACAGGTGTGGTAGAGGAGATCTGCCTATCAGTATTCTCATTGGTGCTGATCATTATTGGTCATTGGTCGAAGGAACCATAGTGAGAGGTGCACCGTGGGAACCTGTTGCTCTTGCCACCAAACTAGGATATGTCCTCTCTGGCCCCACCATGATTATGTCTCACAATGACAATGGTAACACAGTGAATCTTACTGCAACACATGTTCTGAAAGTGGAAGCGAGTGTTGTCAATCGGGATGAAATTGCCTTTGAACTTGGAAAATTCTGGGACTATGAATCACTTGGGATTCGAAATGACAAATTGTCTCTGTATGACAAATTTGTTAGCAAAGTTGAATTTACGGAGGGAAGATATCAAGTACAGCTACCCTTCAAGGAAGACCATGAGCTGCTTCCAGATAATTTTGCATTGTGCAAGTCAAGGCTAGTTTCACTGCTGAAGCGTCTGAATTTGAAGCCTGAGGTGTTAAAGCACTATGATGACGTCATCCGAGATCAGGAAAAACAGGGAATAGTGGAACCAGTGGAGCAAGGTACTAATAATGGTGTGGGCAAGGTACATTACCTTCCTCATCATGAAGTGATCCGTGTCGACAAGGACACTACTAAACTGCGTATTGTTTATGACGCCAGTGCTCGATCAGGAAGGAACACACCAAGCCTTAATGACTGTCTGTATGCTGGTCCCCCACTGTCTCCTTTCATTTATGATGTCCTCATGAGGTTCCGGGCTCACAAGGTAGCCCTCATAGGAGACATTGAGAAAGCCTTCTTAAATGTTTCAGTTCACCCAAGAGATCGTGACTATCTTCGTTTCCTGTGGATTGACGATATCACAAGCAGTCGCCCGAAACTCCAAGTGTATCGATTTGCAAGAGTTGCATTTGGTGTCTCCTCAAGTCCCTTCTTATTAAACGCAACAATTCGTCATCATTTATCTTCTGCTGACATCCCCAGAGAGTTTGCGGAGAGAATTCTGAAAAGTTTGTACGTGGATGACTTTGTTAGTGGAGATGATTCCGATAATTCAGTTCTCGAGATGTATGAGAATCTGAAGTCGTCTTTCAAGAATGGCGGCTTCAATATGCGAAAGTGGGTCTCCAACTCCAAAGTCCTGCAGGAAAGAATTGAACAATCTGAAAGTCGGCCTCATCAAGTTTCAAGCAGTTTTGTTAAGGAACACCCGATTCAAGAGGAAGATGAAACCTACTCAAGTTCTCTGTTTGAGGCAGCGAAGAACTCCACCACATCAAAACTCAAAGTACTTGGAGTTGGTTGGGATAGGGAGAAAGATTTGTTGCTCTTGGATCTGACCTCTTCACTAGAAACTGACAATACTTGTCTGATTACGAAGAGAGCTATTCTTGGTACAACAAGCAAGCTGTATGACCCCCTGGGACTGCTGAGTCCAGTCATCATTCCACTGAAGATCATCTTTCAATCTATTTGCAAGACAGGGGTTGGTTGGGATGACCCGGTGGATTCATTTATCCATGAACAGTGGTTAAAGCTTGTTCAAGATGCTAAGCAGGTGGGAGTGGTACAACTGAAGAGACACTACTTCCATGGTTGGTCAAAAGCAGATTTGCAAAGTGTTCAACTCCATGGTTTTGGGGATGCAAGTGAGAAGGCCTATGGAGCAGTTGTGTATTTACGCGTTGAAACAGCCACTGGAACTGTCTTCACCCAGCTTGTGTCATCAAAAACCAGAGTTGCCCCGATGAATGGAGAAACCATACCTCGACTGGAGTTAGTAGGCGCTCTCATTCTGGCCCGATTAGTCAATACGGTGTTGACAGCATTTGACGGAACATTGAAAGTTGATTCTGTACATTGCTGGTTAGATTCTCAAATTGCTCTGTGGTGGATTTGGGGTGTAAGTAGAGAATTCAAGCAATTCATTCAAAACAGAGTGGTTGAGATCCGTCGACTTACAAAGCCAGCTCAGTGGAATTATTGCCCCACGGAATCCAATCCAGCTGACATCTGTTCGCGTGGGTCAATGACCTCGAAATTGATCACCAATCAGTTGTGGTGGAGTGGCCCTGAGTTTCTTAGGGGTGAGAAGGAGCAGTGGCCAAGTCTTAAAATGAACTCTGTTGAAGTCACAAGTAATGATTCAGATCCTCGCCTTGAACTGAAGAAGGGAAGCTGTAACAACAGCAAGAAGCAGCATGACAGTTCACTTCTTATGAACATTGCCTCTGGAGAGGCGACTTCAGAAAATCGGCTAAATCTTGATTGCATCATTCCCTTGGAAAAGTTCAGTAGTCTTCAAAGACTGATGCGAGTCACCGCATATGTTTTGCGATTTGTCTCTAATCTCAAGCAAAGTAAAAAGAAGAAGGAATTGATTGATGGAGAAGTAACGCAAGAAGAGATGGATCAAGCAAGAGAACTTTGGATCAAGGAGGTGCAGAGATCCGTCTACAATGACAAGAACTTTGACCAGGTCAAGGTCTCGTTATCACTGTTTACGGATGACAAGGGAATCTTGAGGTGTGGTGGTCGTCTTAAAAATGCCCCGATTCCATATGATGCTCGTTTTCCGATATTCCTTTCAAGATGTTCACGATTCACCTACCTGGTTATCAATGACTGTCACTTCTTGGAAAGATCGAACGATTACTTCCAGGACGAGATGGTCGAGTTCGAAGTGCAGTAGTAAGAGTTAAGTCTGGTAATTCACCAACTGCAGAATGGAGACGCCCATTGCAGAGGCTCTATCCTTTGGAAGTGAAGTTGGACACTGAAGCTGCCAATCCTGTGCCCCAAGCGGCAAATGTTCCTGTTAGAGTAGTGAGGGACGAGGATGTCCCAGTTGTTGTCGTGAATTCTGATTAAGATAGATTTATTAAGTTGACTCTGTCATGTTATGATTTGTATTCGTAAGATTAATTGAACTTTGAACTCTGAACTTTGATTGATGATATCAATCAACGCGGGGGAGTGTGTTGAAAACTGGACCGAGAGTGTCACGTGGATTTTTGTATGTTTCTTACCCCCCACGAATTGAACTTTGAACTCTTGATAAAAACTCAAAAAAAAGGAAAATGAAAAGGAATGCGTGAAAGCTGTCTTGTATATTGTTATTCTGGAATACAGTCTTTATTCGAAGTTGTCCTGTTGTATACGTTTTATACAAAGCCTAAAAGCGGTGATGTGATTAGCTATACGAACACAATAGGCCTTTACTGAGAATATAAGGCGACTTTTTGAAAATAATGATATAATAGGTTTCACAATCCGCGAAAAAAAGTCGTAGTCGTATATCTCACTCGTGTAACCACTAACGTTGTATAATTTTTCTTTTCTTCCCCATTTTTTTTAGATATTGATGAATGCCAAAAAAATACTCACGATTGTCACCTAAACGCTACTTGTCAAAACACAAATGGATCCTTTGTGTGCACCTGTGTATTTGGATTTAACGGAGATGGACGGAACTGCACAGGTAAAGGCCTTTAGATTGTAATTGCCTCGTTATGACCTTACATGTTTGTTTGTGTTTGTATTTTTAATTTTTTGTTTAATTTGTACGTTCCTTCTTTGTTTTTTTTGTTTATTTTGATAAAGTAGTTACCCTTGCCTTAATATTTTTGACCAATGGTAGAAAATGAAAATCTTTAATCCCAATTGAAAGCAAGAGGATGAAATGCTCTCAATGTTCAAAATAAGGAGGTTTATACATGTATCATACTCCAAGAATCGTGATTGAAAGCCTGTGATTTCTCAGATATTGACGAATGGGCAAGAAATCTTTCTTGTCATGTGAATGCTAACTGTACCAACACAATTGGATCACATGTATGTACATGCCACACTGGATACACTGGAGATGGACAAACTTGCTCAAGTGATTTTGATAACTTCCCTTCAATGTCCAGAAAAGCCCTTTATGACGGAAGAGAGGCAACCTCCATTGCTGCTCTTTCTATACGTACAATCCCAGCTACTCAAAGTGGGAGGTAATCTCAAACGTCTTTTTAGCTCAAATTATAAGACTGGAAGTAATCAAATATTTATCCTAAAATTCATCCCTCATTAAAAATTGTAGATTGTTTTGTTTTGTTTTGTCCCACATCCTTTGAGACTAGATTTGCAGTATTTTGGAAAGGTATTCATTATATCTTGATTCGCCAAAACATTTTTCATCATAACATCTAACTCTGGGTTGTGACGTGTGCACTTGATCCCCATCAGACATTGACGAGTGCTCACAAATGAACATGTGCGATAAGAACGCCTCTTGCAGTAATACCCAGGGCATAAATGTTCTGCAAATGTAATTATATTGATGATGTCTCAATTAAACAGAATAGTCTGATTGGTTAAAATCGATGTTGACCGCAGTTACGATTTTCTCACTCTGACCTAATAAGGTAATTCCTCAGAAAAAAAAAAAAAAAGACATCTAACAATTTTTTTAGTCTGCCTTTAAATGTTTCCTACCAATGGCTGTTTCGAAAAATGCAATAAGAAAGGCAGGTCACCTTGCTTGTTTGAGAGAAATGACGGGCCAAACTTACCTCATTTATGCCTCTACTAGCAATTTTTCCCGCGCGTCATTTCAAGGTACATTTTTCGGTAGCTGGAATCAAGGGATTTCGAAATAAAAATTAGAAGAAAAAACTTAAAAGGTACAAAGTCTCGAGCGTGTGGAAAATTTGATATGTAATTTGTGGAAGTTATTTATATACATTAGTAATTATTATCACTCAAAACGTTCCTCACGTCGTTGTTTTCAAGGTAATGATTTTCATCATCAAGTAACGGGCTTTGTGCACGTTTTTAGCTATGTCTTCTTTTTTTTTTTTTTTTGCCTTCGACAATTTTCTTAATTTCTCCAAGTTGAAGGGGAAGATTTGTACAAAAAAATTATGCAATGAAAAATAGAGGTCACCACGCTCGTTCAAGAGCTAAAGAGCATTGTGCCTGTTTGCATGGTCCATTTATTGAAAAGCAATACCGTGTTCTCGGAATGTGTGCGCTTACTTGCCTGATTACGTGATCTGTATTCGCAGTACAGGATGCCCAGTGCAATACTGAGGAATCACCTTTAGACTGATAGCAAGATTCAGTTTGTTTGTTTTTTTTTTTATCTAAATAGTTATTAATGGAAGAATATTTGTCTAAATAAGGAAAACGTAGACAAATTTGAGTGTAGCCGACGAAACTACGAGCATAGCAACTTGACTTGAATTGTTGTCAGATGCACGATTTGATTGGCTATTAGGAAACACTATCGTCCAGAGCATGTGTTGATAAAATATTTATCAGTCATGTTATAAACAAACAACATTTACCTTTGATATAAATAGTAGAGATGGTAAGTTTTGAGCTCGATGAAGAATTAAGAAAGATGTTTTTTCGTCTTGTCACGAGCGTGGGATAAAGAAAAATTCTGAGTCCCCATGAGGAATCGAACCTCAGACCTTCGGATTTGCGCTCCGATGCTCTACCACTGAGCCACCAAGACTCTTCGATGAGCGAGATCTATTATGAAGTTCTTATAACACGCGTCCTGCATACTGCTAGGATCAGCAATGTCGACAGCGTAATGTTTTTGATAGAAATAGTAGAGATAGTAAGTTTTGAGCTCGATGAAGAATTAAGAAAGATGTTTTTTTCGTCTTGTCACAAGCGTGGGATAAAGAAAAATTCTGAGTCCCCATGAAGAATCTTCTTCACCGAGCACAAAACTTATATAGGTTTCACAATCCACGAAAAAAAAAAGGCGTAAAGCGCATCGGCGATAACGCTCAAGATGAATATATGTGTGGAACCATTACAGAAACAGACAATGGGCGTAGCTTTCTTTTTACAAAATTCTCAGTTATTGACTTTTTCCTTACCGACAAAAGAAATTTTTTCATGTACACGCCCGAAATCGGCCTGTGGCAAATCTTCCAGTTGTCGATTTTCGTTCTCAACCACGAGAAATACCATTACCCAGGTCGAGGACCTAACTTTAGGTTTTTCTTTTCGTATTTTGTTTTACTTCCCCTTCTAAGAAATTTTGAGTGACACTGTCTGTTAGAAATACGAATTTTACTTTGTTTTTTTTTAGCAGCCATAATTCAAGAAAATTTCAACATACGAACCTGGATTGAGAACGGTCAACGCTTTGCCATTCATTTATTAACCTGACACAGCCGATTGTGAAATTAAACACATGTAAAAAAATATCGTAATATTACACACGTGTTTAACAAGAATTTCCCGGCTCTTCTCAGGGCGGGAAATCGTTTTAAACCACCGCAGTTTATATAATAGCGTTTTTTTCCTTAAGCTTTCTTATGACGAAATATATTAAACATCGCATTAACCCAAATTCAACCTTTTAGCCGATCCGTGCTATAATTACAGAAACCTGAGCGATGCTGACAGAAAGAGCACTTACAACACACCCTACGGTGGAGAAAAATGTGACGACGAATCATCCATAATATTCGGGGAATGGTATCGTTTCGTGGGAGATGCAGGAACAAAAATGCCAACCCAGTGCGTACCGTCGTTCAGATGTGGTGCGGTCTTAACAGGCTGGCTAAAAGGTGGTCACCCCACATTGGCAGATGGCGAGGTTTCCTCCGAGGTCTGCTTTACCAGAAGAAGTGATTGTTGCGCGAAATCAATAAATATTAAAGTGAAAGACTGCGGATCCTACTTTATTTACAAACTACGAAAGCCACCTACTTGTGATCTGCGCTACTGTGGCACAGACTAAATGCTATAAGCAAGTTATTCTGCACAGCTAAAGGATTCAGAGGATTAAGAATTTCACATGATCCATTTTTTATGATTTAGTGAATAGTTCGAACACAAGACTACCTTTGGACGGCGTAGTTTAATCTTCTAAGTAAGAGTACTCCCGAGAAGTTGTGATGCTTATCCGAGTGTTAGAAGAACAGACTCCTCCCCCCCCCCCCCGTAGCAAATTTAAACAACTATGGGCATTAGTGAGCTTTCAAATAATCTTAGTATCACCTATATCTATTCCAATCGAAGAGCTTCACTAAGTAAGTTTTAAGCACAACTTTGAGCATTGTATTTTGCTTATTACAAAACGCTTTGGACTCTTGATGTTTACTCAGGTCGTTAGAAACTAAAGCAGCTTTTAATACCCACCCATTCTGTGCATGTAATTGTCATTCTGTCTGAAAGCCTTCCACTATGGGTCACGGCAGTCCGTGATTATGAGTCAGTTGTTTATTATGTTCGGCCATGCTTTCATTGGCATCATTATGTACAAGGATTTTTAAATCGTATTAGGTGTGTTGTGGATAGAGACTGTAAATAATTTCAAGAATTCTTAGTCACTATGACATTGATATATATATATATATATATATATATGATATTTTCACTACTGGTTAAGTAGTGTTAACCGCTGCGAAGTTCTCTTTCATATTAATTTCATAATCCGCAGTCCCCATACATGATTTTCATATATTCACAGTCATTACCTTTCTTTTCTGTTTTGCAGTCAAGAATCTCTGCTACGAAAATTTGAGATAAATTTCTTAGCTTTTATGGCCTAAAACGAAATCAAAGCTAACCATTTTTTAAAAAAATACCTCGAGAGAATTTAGACAGGGACTATGAGGTAGACCTTATATCACATTCGGAGATTTATCAACCGAGCTATCGTACTTCTTTCCATAGCCACGCCAGCGGATGAGGTACTGAACGCGACCGTGAGCGTCCGTACGCTTATCGAGCACTTTCGATACTTCATAAAACTTATTCATGTTTCTTAGCTCTTCTCTCAATCAGGGATTGTCTAAAGTGATTATGACTTGTGTTTACGAGGCTTTTATATGCAAGTATCATTGATAAAATTTATGAGCTTTTCAACTGCAGAGCAATACCCTAAATTAGTGAATGGCCCGCCCCCTGAGCGGCGTCGCGTGGGCAAGGATAAAAACCAAATCTGCGACAAACGTGAGCGCGCGCGAGGAAGGGAGTCGTCACGAAAAAAAGGAATAACAAACAACGGTTTGCGCAAGCAATTCCAAACCAGTCACACTATTTTTTTCTTTTTTTTTCACTCACCTAATGCGACGATGAAGATTTTTGTTTGAGCATTTTTGGCTAACCGGAGAATAAAATCACTGAAACGGAAAAAGGTGCGAAAATCGCACCTTTTGTTTTGCGTTCAACAGCGATGTTTACTTGCTTCAATAGACCAAAAAACAAAAACGCGAGGCCTGACAATAGTCTAAGTAAACCCGCCTTTTCACGCACTCTCGACATCGAGCGGTGTGTCTTCATTCTTTTTTTTTTCTTTTTTTTTTCTTTCCTTTTTTTCTGCTAGCAGTGGAACAATTAGCGAAAAGCGAAATCATTTAAACGTGAAAAGGTGCAAAAGACAAATATTCTTCTTGCCGATCGACGTAGATCCAGGCGCAATCGGTTAAATAATTTTTAAGCCATGTACGAAGTAAATTTAAA